AGTGACGCTGTGCCCTCTACAGTTAAGATGGTGAACAGCTCGACCTGGAGCTGGGCTGCCGCAAGTGGCCGTCCAATGGCCGGCGAGTGACTGCCTCACCTGGGAAGAGCACAATGATAATACCAACACGTGCCAGTGAAGCGACGTCCTCCACAACTAGACTGAACAACAAAAGTACAGCAACTTGTCTGTTCCCCTTTCCTGATTCCCCAACACTGTTCCCTTCCCCCAATTCCCCAATAAAATCTTAAAAAAAAAAATCAACTCTCTCTAAATGAACCTATAGTCATTGAAATCCCAATAAATATCCAGATAAGATTCAATAAATGGCAAACTTGCTAGTCATTTGTATATAAACAATTCAGTCCTTATTCCAAAATAAAAATTCAATGACTTAAAGATTTAAATGTGAAAAATTAAAGTATAAAATACTAGAAGAAAACGTGAGTAAGTATTTTAACCATTTTGGAGGGGAGAATGCCTTTCTCATCATGCAGTGAAACCAAGAAGCCATAATTACAAATCTCAATGTTATAACATAAAAATTGTAACTATGATTGAACACAAGAGAAAGATAAAGACCCAAACAAATATTTACAAAAATAATATTCCTAACATATGAGAAGTGCTTACAAATCAATATAAAAGATGAAAAGACCTAAAGGAAATGGGCAAAGGACAGAAACAGATAATTCACAGAAGAAATTGATCATTAATTTACAAAAAGAACATCACTAATAATGAAATAAATGCAAATTAAACTAAGCATGAAGTATCAACATATTCATCTCTGATTGCCAAGACTGATGGTAAGCAATGGGCATAGAGGTATGTGGGACACAGGTTCTTTAATACACTAGTGCTGGGAGTGAATACTCATACAATCATTTGGAAGAGCAATTTATCATCATCTCTTCAAATTAAAAATGTGCATTTCCTTTGACCTAGAATTTATACTTCTGGAAACTTAATATAAAGCAATATTCAGCCAAGTGGGTAAAGAAAACACACACACACACACACACACACACACACACACAAATGCATACATGTTCCTTGCAGAACTATTGTAGTAAAAAAAATTGGAAACAGTCATCAGTAGTAGATTAGTTAAATGGTAGATAACAATGGAATAATTTGCAGCCATTAAAAGATAGATAGTATATTTACATACTATCAGCAAAAGATATCCACAACATATTAATTGAGAAAAAGCAATTTGCTGAAGGGCATTTAATCCCATTTTTTAAAAGTAGGAATATTAGTATGCAAACTGAACAATTTTTGAAATAATTAATACATTAACAACAGTCATCTCTAAGGCTCAGATGATGTGGAAACTTTCAGTTTCCAAGACACAAATTTTTCTTTTATTTGAATTTTTACATTAATCATGAACTGAACGAATGCAATTTTTTAGTAATTAAAAGTTAACGATAGCAAAATGAAGTTGAAATGATGACAATTTCACAGGCTTTCCTCCCTCCCAATTAGCAGAGGAAAGGGCAGATTTCCCAAGTTGCTTCCAGGATCAGTGAATGAACCACTCAGGCTGAAGAAATTGTAGCAACAATGGACAGAGATAGGTAAACAACCCGACAAAAGGTAAAGGGGAGACCTATTTATTTTTATTTTTTAGCTGAGCCATCCTGCCACCTGTTGGCAGCTCAGTGGCAGCTCAGCTCAGACTGGGAATCAAACCACTGTTGCTCAGAGCTCAAACTCTTGAGCGAGCTCTTAAGCAACTGAGCCACTCGACTGGCCCGAGACCCATTTTTTCAAACACTGGGACAAATTGAAATAAGTACCTGGCCACTTGCTGCCCCATCATCGTATCGCCCTCCTTCAAATCTTTGGCTGTCACTCTGAAAACAAAAAAAAAAGTTCCATGCTTAATACATAAGCATTATCTGGGGAAAACTGTCTTGAGTTTCAAGCCAAATGGAAACCCATTAGGGAAGTGTGTGCAGAAATGAAACTGAGATTCATGAGGGCAGTACAACTGGGTGAAATGTATAAAGAACACTGTTAGAGGTAGTTCTGCTCTGAGACGCCGAAGAAGCATTTTGATATTTTTCTAAGAAATGAACATGAGACATTTACCACAATGCTCCATCGTTAGAGTTTCTACCAATGACTTTCAAAACATAATCCAGGTACCGATGGGTATTTGTTACCACAAACACTAGCTGTGATATTGTGATTTATAAGAAGAAATATATATTTGGTCTATGTCCTTTTTTTTTTTTTTTTGGTACAAAGCTTCTAAAACTCTTGGAATTTCCTAAGTGGTGGAGCATTAAAAGTGTCTTTTGTTATGTAAAGAAGGTGACTTGGAAAGAATGTCTATGTAAGGATCATGGCTGGTTGCCAGAACCAACCTTGAGATTAGAGGGTTGGAACTTTCAGTCCCATCCACACCCTTGACCTCCCAGAAGGGGAGAGGAGCTAGAAGTTAATTGCCAAAGGCCAATGTTTTAGCCAGTCATGCTTATATAATGAAGCCTCCATCAAAATCCAGTAGGACGGTGTTTAGAGAGCTTCTGTGTTGGTGAACACAGGGAAATGCGGGAAGAGTGGTACCCCTGGTGAACCAGGCATGGCAGCTCCGAGCCCTTTCCCCATACCGTGCCCTGTGCATCTCTTCTATCTGGCTGTCCTTGAGTTGTATCTTTTCATAACAAACCAGTGACTTAGTGAGTAAACCAGCTTCCTGAATTCTGAGTTGCTCTAGCTAATGAATTGAACACAAGGAGCGGGTTGTTAGAACCTCTGCTCTATAGCCGATTGGTCAGAAGCACAGGTAACAACAACCTGGACTTGCAATTGGTGCCTGAAGAGGGGTGGACTGAGCCTTTAGTCTGTGGGCTCTCACACCATCTCCAGGTAGATAGTGTCAGAATAGAGTTGAATTGTAGGACACTCAGCTGGTGTCTTAGCTTTGAATCTGTATCAACCAGCTATGAAAAATATTATTTTAAGAAATGGTGATTCTATTATTTACCTAGGCAAAACATTACTGAGGAGTTAGTGGCCCATGAAGGCTTTTATTCTCTCCCCTCCCAGAGTTGTTTACTGAGGACACAAGTCTGAATCAGCTGAAGATACAAGTTTGAATCAGCTGAAGATTACCTAAATTAAAAGTATACATATAAAAGGAAGGCAAGAAAATCTAATTTTAGCCTTAGCATTTTACTTTACTCAAATTATTTGCCAGTAGTGAAATGGACAAATTGGGATTTGGCTTCTTTTTTCTTTTAATTTTTTCTGGAATAAATTCTGGAGAGCATTGAGAGGCAAATTGTGGACATTAAGATAGGAGATGATTGTAAAATAAAGGGGCCAAAGTAATCCCTTAGTAAGCTTCTCAGACCTTTGCCTGCAAGGAATGAGCACCCACAAATTCCATCACTGATATTGTACTGGGAGAATCAGGGGAAAATGACTATTTTAATCAGTTAGAAATCTTTAAAATACCTAACTGTTTCAAAATAGGGTCTAACATACAACATAAAAATGTTTACAAAGAAAATAATACCTCATGTAAGGATCCACGGTGAGGAACAAAGCTTCCACCAGGACCTCTACAAAAGAAAGCATTCCATAGGCAATTAGAAAGTCAAGGCCTGATGCCTTTGTTGACTTTGGCATTCTAAATAAACAGATAACCTTTATACTTCCGGGTTGCCCTCTCATCTGCCCTTTCCACTGAGCAGACAAGGAGGCCTCTCACATTTGACCCAGCCCAGTTGTTGTTGCTCTTCTTTTTCTTCATCATCATCATCATCATCATCATCTTATTATTTACTCAGTACTCCATGCTTTTCATGGATTATTTCATATGATATTCTCAAGAATTATTGTTTCCATTTTATTTAAGCATAAGTTAAGTAACTTGCCCTGGGCCACATTTATAACCACTATGTTACAGTGCCCACATAGGGTTTCATTACCAGTTCCAGTCAGTATTAAAGAATATGCAGGGCCAGCCGAGTGGCTCAGTTGGTTAAGAGCGCAAGCTGTGAGCAACAGGGTCGCTGGTTCGATTCCCACATGGGCCAGTGAGCTGCACCTGAGCTGAGCTGCCAATAGGTGGCAGGATGGCTCAGCTGTGAGAGCACGTGCTCCTAACAACTAGGTTTCCGGTTCGAATCCCGCATGGGATGGTGTGCTATCCCCCCCACAACTAAGATTGAACATGGCACCTTGAGCTGACAGGCTGCGAGCTGCCGACCGGCGGCCCCAGATGGCAACTGGACTTGGAGCTGAGCTAGCTACGCCCTCCACAGCTAAGACTGAAAGACAACAACTTGGCTGTTCCCCTTCTCCAATTCCCCAACACTGTTCCCCTTCCCCAATTCCCCAATAAAATCTTTTAAAAAAAGAGTATACACATTGCTGGAGTGACCCTTATGCACACATTCTCTGGAATTTTGAAGCTGAGTCCTGGCTATCCCAATTTAGATAGGACTGATAACTTTGCCATGCTACTCAATTGCATGCCCTTTTCGCAAAGTTTACCAACCTGTAAACACCCCTTATAGACACTTCTTATAGTCTGTTCTACAAAGCTAATCTCTAAACATGTCATGAAGTATGTTGCTATTACTCTCCTTTAGATTTCTTAAAGTTTGCCTTGTCCCTTCGCTTCTCCCAAGTAGATGTGAGACTCCTCAGGGAAAAATGAGGCTTTTTCCCCTACTTGTCTGTTCACAGGGGTAGTCTGAGCTCTGCACACAGCCATTAGGCAGTGCTACCCCACTGTCATCTTCGAGCTCAGCAGGACAGAGAGGAAATCTTCCCCATGGGCTGGTCAAAGTCATGAATAACGCATCAAATAATGCATCCAAGCATTATTATAATTGGATTATTATAATCCAATAATTATGATAATAATTATTATAAGTCAATAATGCATCCAAGCATGAGCTTTAATTACCAAGACAAAGAAGGATCTTCCAACATGACATTCAGGCTTCACATAGAGAACCCTGAAAAAGTCTCTGTGGCGGATTACGAAATGGCCACAGATACCTCCCATCTGAGTGTGGGCCTCTTTGCCACTCTTCCCATCAAGAAGTCTATTTCTCTCTTCTTTATCTGGGCTTGGCTTTGTGATTTGCTCTGAAAGGTTTACTGGCAAATATGATACAAGTGGAGGTTTGAAAAGTACTTGCACAATGGAGCTTGCCAATTTTTGCTGCTCTAGATCCAGCAAACCAGTGTGAAAATAAAGAGCTCAAACTAGCCTGCTAGAAAGGCCCGCCTAGAGGAGTACTGAGGCATGCACCTCAGCAGAAAACCTGCTAACCCCCAGGCATGTCAGCGAGGCCCATCCTAAATTAACCATTTAGCCCAGATGAAACCGACAGAAGAACCACCAACTTCACCCAGTCCGAATCGCCAACCCACAGAATTGTGTACTAATAAATGATTGTCGTTTGAAGTCACTCAATTTTGGGGTAGTTTGTTATGCAGCAAAGGCTAACTGATAACAGTCTCTTCCAACTCAAATCCTGAGTATGACTTACCTCCATTTTTTAAGGGTGGGAGTTCAACTGTCTTCAACTCAAAGTTACTATTTGTAGGGCTGCCTTCAAAGTGCTTCCTCAGGGTCCATTTCTTAGCGTGAACCATCCTGAAGCTTCTAGAACATAGTAAACATGTAGTCAACTGCCATGAAGTGACTGGATTATTATGGTTCCCTAGCCATTGCACTAAGGCCAGACAGCAGGGTCTATTAATAATCTACTTATTATCATTTAGCATCAATCACATTTATGGTATTTACTATATTTACTATATTTCCGTTGCTGTGCTAAGCACTTCATATGCATCATCTCATTTTATCCTCATAACTTCCCTATAAAATAGGCATGATTATCATTGCCAGTGTACCAGGCACTGGAGAAAACTGAGGGTTCCTCAGAAATCTTCAAGATCAGGAAAAAAATGTAAACCGACACAGAAATTCTCCCCAGGCATCGCTAGGGTTTCTCTAGGGCACCGAACAGCTACCTGGCATGCAAATTCTCCGTTTCTCACTGCACCTGATGCGAATCCTAAGAAATAGCATCCAACACAAAGAATCGCCCAGGAATCCATGCACGTCTTTCAGGTGGATAGAACAACACGTTCTAAGATAATCTTAAGAACACCTGAACACCACCGGGTGGCGCTGCTGCCCTATTTTCGGGGACTTTTCTTTGGCACCAAAAGGGAACTCCAGGGTTTGTGTTTACTCCTGTCTCCACACAAAGCCGAGAAATGGTGAATCAACTACTCTGAATACTTCTGCACCATGTGGGAGCCGCGCCATCTCCTTGGGTGAATTGGCTGCTGCCCACAGCCGCTGGCGATTTCATCCTATCCCCGACCAGTATTCTGTTCTCTCAGGCGAGAGGACATTTGTGGTCTGGAGGGGTACACTTTCGCAAGTGGAGGAGTGCGGTCGGATCCGCAGCCCTACTGTTCCTTCTTCTTTCTTTTCCCCATAAAAGGCAGCCGCTGCGAATTCTGAACACGCCCTAAGTCCAGAAGCCCCTGGAAAAGGTCTGGCCGCAGAGGCAGGAGCGGCTCAGGGAGAGTCCCACGGACCGCAGAAAGGGGCCAGGTGCAATCCTCAGTCCACACACCCTCCCCCCAGGCTCCCATCTCCTTGCCCTGCGCACACCCGTGCCCATTAACGGGGCTTTCGACGCCTTTCTTTTCCTTCCCCACTTGTCCCTCTTTTGCAGTCCCGCAAGTTTCTTGGCCAGTCTCTTCCCGGGAGCAGGCAGCTATGGGGTGCAGCCGAAATGCATCCAGGCCATGCCCATCCCTTCCAGCACCCGTCTCCGATCGATCTCTCCAAGGGACCGGAGGCATCAGGACTCCTGCTTTCAGGTTCCTCCGAGGGCAAGACCCAGAGGTTATTCAGCGTCAGGAGAGGGAGAGCAACGCGTAAACGCTCCGCAAAGGGGTGTCTAGAAACGAAGCAGGGAAAATGAAAAAGTCGGGCTGGGGTGAGGATGCTTACTTACAAGAGTCCGCAGGCTCCACTTCCTAGAGAAGACGGCTGGGATCACGCAGCGGAGCACCCAGGATTTATAGGCCGTCCCAGGGAGGGTGGGGCGTCCGAAGGGCGGAGCTGCTCCTGGAAGCGCGGGAGCCCAGGCCCAGAGAGGTTCACAGGAGGGTAAATCAGGAAGTGTGTGTGTGTGTGTGTGTGTGTGTGTGTGTGTGTGTGTGTGTGTGTGTGTGTGTGTGTGTGTGTGTTGCTTCCAATAGTAAAAAACCTCATCAGGGCCGGCCTAGTGGTGCTTTGGTTAAGAGCTGGCTTGGGACGCCAGAGGGCCCCGGTCCGGATCCCACATATGAGGGCCAGTGACACTGCCTCTACACCTGGCGCTGGGCAGCCATGAGTTTGCCTCCGCAGAGTAGGCTGCAGTCCCTGCTGCAGTGGGTTGCCATGGGCTACTGTGTGTAGCCAGCAGCCAGCGTGAGCAGCCGTCCAGAAGCTGTAGACTGATCTGCCTCACCTGGGAAGAGCGCAATGATGGTGCCAACTTGGGCCAGTTAAGGAACATCCTCCACAACTAGACTGAAGAACAAAAGGACAGCAACTTGTCTGTTCCCCTTCCCCCAATTCCCCAGTGCTGTTACCATCCCCTAATTCCCCAATAAAAATCTTTAAAAAAAAAAGAAAAAAGTCTCCCATCAGAGCCCTGCCTGGGGTACTGTGCCTACACCAGTATCCTAACTGGGAATCCAGCAGAATGATACTGTGTGTGGGGGGGGGGGCAGGGGGATGGGGAGCTCCACCCTCATGCAGGGAGGTACAAAGGCAGGAGCTCCCAGTGGCCACAGCCTGGGGCAAAGTGCAATGCTGTCTCTGGTGCCTTGGGCTTCTCGTCAGCACCGCAGCTTGTAGGGCATCCACACCCCCACCCGGGTGCCTGTGCACTGGCCCCTGCCCACTGGTCCTCAGTTTACCTGATGAACACCTCTTTACCTTTCAAGAGCCAATCAAGGGTCACCTCCTCTGTGCGTCTTTCATAGACTCACTTAGCTAGGAGTTAGCACTTCTGCCACTGAGGAAAGTTATTGTTTTCCTGATTAAAATAAAAAGTAACAAACTCAACAGACATGCATCTCTTGCCATTTGTCCTTCTGCCTGCCTGGAATGTGGAGGTGCTGCCTGGTGGCGCATCAAACATTTTGTGACCATGAAGAAGAAAGCCACTGACTGCAGATGGCAGTAGAAGAGACAGGAATCTGGTTTTCTTTTTTTTTTTTAGCTGAGCCATCCTGCCACCTGTTGGCAGCTCAGCGGCAGCTCAGCCGGGGCCGGTACTCCAACCGCTGTTGCTCAGAGCTGGCACTCTTGAGCAAGCTCTTAACCAACTGAGCCACTCAGCCCACCCTGGTTTTCTTAAGTAGTTGCTTGAACCCCAGACTTCCTACTATGGATTCCTTATTACATGAAAAAAAGAAAAAAGTATTTATTTATTTATTTTTTAACAATAGAGATCTTTTATTTTTACATTTATGCCATGAATTCATAGGGAATGGGTTCCAGCAGCTCAGGCTCCTTTCCATTGGTTCTCACAAAGTGTGCTTCTCTGGCTGGGGCAGGCTGGCATTTCAGTTGAACACACGTACCCTTCTCTTTGGATTCCTTCTTTTTCTGATCATTTTCCTTCACCTGTTTCAGGAAGCTGTCTCTGCTCTTAGATAAGTGCTTAATATGTTCAATACGAACATTAATTCTCTTGGCAAGAATCTTGCCTTTAACTTGTTTGTTTACGACAATGCCAACTGCGTGCTGAGTAACACTGTAGACCCTTCCAGTTTTGCCATGGTAACATTTGTGGGCCATTCCTTTTTGAACAGTGCCCATTCCCTTGATGTCTACAATATCACCTTTCTTGTAGATTCACATGTATGTGGCCAAAGGAACAGCTCCATGTTTTCTAAAAGGCCTGGAGAACATATAGCGGGTACCCCTCCTCTTGTGTTGGTCATCTTGACGAATTACTGGAAGATGGTGGTCCTGGCCGAAAAGCAAAAAGTATTTTTTTAAGCCATTGTAGTTTTGCTTCCTGGAACCACTGAAAACAGCTCTGACATCCTGGGGATGGAAAGGGCTAAGCCTGTGCAACCATGTTTCCCTGGTAAGGATTTATCAAGGCCAACTTTCTTTTAGACGAAGGGAGCACTACCATGGCAATTGGTCAAGATGCCCCTCACCCCAGCCCCAGCTTGTGGGGTGAGAATTTCCAAAGCTCACCTGGTACATGTGGAGTGAATCTTAGGGAAATATCTGCAATTAATCATGACAATCCAGGAAAGCACATATTATTATTATCTTCCTCAAAGCCTCAGGAAACTGAAGTTCTAAGAGGTAAAAACAACAACAACAAAAACTTAGACAAGATCACATAGTTAGTTAGTAGCAGGGTTGAGATTTGAATCTGAATTAATATGCTCCAGAGTCCTGTACTTTTCACTGTTCCATTTTACCTACCAGTACAGGTGAGATGGATTCCTCTCATAGGTAAGAACAAATTTAGGAAAGGTCATATTTGTGGGATATCTGTAAACTACTTATTAGTAATGTTATTTCTGACATACAAATATGCTGAATGCCTTGGAATGTTACTTTCTCATCCTGGCTTTCTCTCTTAGTCTGTCCTCCCACCCTCCTATCCACTTTGCTAGTGTCTGATGTACAATAGTTCTATGACAGGACGTCATTCTGCCTCATGATGGCTGGAGCTGAGACTGGAACAGAGAAAATACAAGATGAACCTGAAACATCTTTTAGCACCAGTTTATAAGAAAGTTTATAAAATATGATGGGGGACAAAAAAGGATAGGGCAATGTCAAAAGACATAGAAGCCATCTTAAAGGAGTTTCTGTTGGCCAAATATATGACAATTTGAAGATCAAAATGAGGAATGAAATTAACATATTAGTACCCATACAATTAACAACAATTATTGTGTTAATGGAGTTAACAAATTTGATCACCCATAAAATAAGTTACCATGAATTCATAAATGTAGAGATAAGGAAAAGATCTTCCTTAATTAGAATGTCAACTAATAAATGTAGTTGGAAAGATAGAATCAGAATGTCATCATTTTACAACCATCAGATTAATAATTGACTCAGGCAAAAATCATAGAAGCTAAAAGAAGTAGGTGAAAGTTTGATGAGGAATAGAATAGCTCTAAAAGTATCTCCGCACAAATTATTTATTAAAGGGAGATAAAAAGTAACTTTACAGTGTAAAAACCTGATGGACAAATGGTCAAAGTCAACATCACCAATAACGAGACAATGATATTATCTTGTGTTTTCTGATATTATGCATCGAGAAGGACACAATATCAATTCTGTGTTATCCTGACAGAAATGCATAACCTGGGGTTAATTATAAGGAAATATCAGAAAAACTCAAACCAAAGGACCTTCGAGAAAATAACTAGTTTGTAATCTTCAAAAGCATCAAGGTCATATAAGTCAAGGAAAGACTGAGGAATTGTTCTAGATTAAAGGAGGCTACAGGAACATGAAAACTAAACGCAGTGCATGAACCTGGAATGAATTGGGATAGAGAGGATAGCTTAAAAGGGTATGATTGAAACATCTGGTGAAATCTGAATATAAACTATAGATTACATGAGGAGTTGGCCAACTATGTGTGGCCCTCTGGTCAAATCCAGCCTATTGTTTATTTTTGTGTAGCCTGAAAGCTAAGAATAATTTTTACATTTTAAAAAAGTTGTGGTGAAAAACACATAACATAAAATTTACCATCTTAACCATTTTAAGTGTGCAATTCAAGTATTAATTTTATTCACATTATTGTGCAACTGATCTCTCTATCTTCTTTATCTTACAAAACTGAGACTCCATATCCATTAACAACTTCCCATTCTCCTCTTCTCTCAACCCCTGGCATCCACAATTTTACTTCTATTTCTCTGAGTAAGTGGAATCATTCAATATTTGTCTATTTTGTGACTAGTTTATTTTACTTAACATAATGTTCTCAAGTTTCATACATGTTGTAGCATGTGACGGGATTTCTTTCTTTTTTAAAGGCTGAATAAATTCTGCTGTTTTGTTCATTCAAATAACTAGAAAATACAGATTATACTAATAGATTATTACTATTATATAGTTTGATGTGTGTACCTGGTTCATAGGAAAACTTGTGTTCCCAGAGTAAGTATGAGAAAAGGAAGGAAGGAAGGAAGGAAGGAAGGAAGGAAGGAAGGAAGGAAGGAAGGAAGGAAAGAAGGAAGAGAGAGAAAAGGAGTCAAAAAGAAGGAAAAAATAAAATTACCCCAAATTTTGGAAGGTGAGAAGGCAGGATTCAGAGACCTCGCAGTCTGCCCTAGCTTCTCATTATCATAGAATAAAAATTGTCCCAAAGAGTCTTTAGTTTGTTTTAAATCAAAAGAATTTGAGGTGAAGGCAAGTTATTTTTAGAATGCTCATGTTATTTGGGTTAAAGTTACTAGTGATATAGAATTAGTAAATTGTACAGTAACAGTTTGTTGTTTTCTTATTATAACATTAAAAATAAGATAAGTAGGTGCAGTATTTTTTGTGATAAAGCATTTGCTGAAATAAAGGAAGGTGCATTTAAATTGGGAGCCTACAGTTCTAGTCAAGTTCAGGCAAGATCTTTCTGAAGCAGCCTATGACTTGGCAATTTTCTAAGAAAGAAAATCAGTTGGGGCGTGAATTAGGCATTCATTAACAAAAAAAATTTTTTTTTAACCATCTATGCCTTCTTAATTTGCTTATTTGAAATTGTGAGTATATGAAAATAATGTCTACTTTTCTCATTAAAGACTGCAGAAAGACCAGTAGGTATTTGTATATGTGGTGGGAAGACCAGGACTGGTTTTGAATGCTGGCTTGGCCTCTTACCTGCTTTGTACCTTTGGATAAGTCACATTATTTTTCAGAGTCAATTGCTTCACTGAGCAGTACATACACGTTCATGTACCTAACAGAGTTGCAACACAATGTATATGAAAATGATTTCTAACCTCAAAGGGCTCGCTATACAAATAAGCGTTTATCATGATTAATGGAGGGAACAACGCCCTATGCGATAGGCATGAG